CAGTGTGTGTGTGTGTGTGTGTGTGTGTGTGTGTGTGTTTCTGTGTATGTTTTCATGAGTAGTTCTATTTGTGTCGCTATTCATCTTTGCGGGTATGCGTCTGCAAGAGTGTATAAAGTCTGTACTGTGTGTCCGTATTCATCTCTTGGTTCAGTGATTTGAAAGTGAGAGTTTAGACACAGTAGCAAAGACTCCCCACCAGTGTCTGTGATGTAGCGGTTAGAGCTTGGCTGCTGCACACAGAAGACCCAAGTTCGATTCCCGTCTGGGGAGAACTTATCAAGTTTCTTGGTTTTTCTGCTAGGAAGTTGTACAATTCTCTGTCCATATTGGCCCCGATTGGCAGGATCGAAGCCTGCTTCCTAAAGCCATGATTTTGATTCTGTCGATGGGGAGGTGAAATACGCTATTTGTGGGAATGTGCTATTGACTGTCTCACTGAGTGGGTCTGTGTGTGTTTGTTTCAGATCTGGAGAGCCCGCAGACCACTGACCCGATGGTGGCCGACCTTGAACTTTCTGACGAAGACGAAACGACATTGGAAGGTTTGCTAGCAGGTAAACTTTTAGTCGTCACACTTGGCTCTAAGTTGTCGCTAAAGAAAAAGAGGGTGCGGGTGTCTTGTCAGGTCTTTTTTTCATTTTGCATCACTTCTTTTCTGTCCATCTTTTCCTTTCTCTGCCCCCACCCCCGTCTCTCTCTCTCTCTCTCTCTCTCTCTCTCTCTCTCTCTCTCTGTGTGTGTGTGTGTGTGTCTCTCTCTCTCTCTCTCTCTCTCACACACACACACATCTATACATATAGGCAATAAAAGCCCCACCCAAACGTCCAAGGACACACACAATCGAACAAAATACACATGTTCATTATTATCCATCCCATGCTTTGGCTCTTCCCCGTCCTATGTCCCTTCTCCTCTCACACTCTTCTCCTCCCCCGATCCTTGCCCCACTTTCCCCCTCCCTCCTCCTCTCCTCTTACACCCCCTACCTCTCTCTCCCGTACAGGCACTGTATCCCCCACCTCCCTAGACAAAAGCCAGCAACGACGCTTACAGAGCTTCATCCAGTCTCTCATACAGGTGCTGGAAGACAACACAGCGGGACTCGAACCTGATACCACTGGTGAGTGGTCCACTGGATGTGCTTGTCACTGGGTCTGTTGAGGTGGTGTGTTAGGGGCGGGGCTTACTTTACTTACTTCACTTTATCCGTCCTCTTGTACCTCTATGGCGTCGAGGAGAGAAAGAGTTTTCTGTCTCTTGCAAGTTTGATGGCCTTGCTGGGTGGGATATTGTATGTTATCAGGGTATCCTTCACACCCTGGATCCAGGTCTTTCTTGGTCTTCCTCTTGCCTTGTACCCTGATACTTTCCTGTAGTAGGCTTTGCTGCAAAGCTGGGTAGGTGCCATACGTGTGAGATGCCCAAACCACCTGATTATTTACCTTCGAATGAAGTGGAGGACAGGTGTTGTTCCCACCATTTCTCTGATCTTGTTGTTTCTGACCATCTCCCATTTGGTTTTGTTGACGACTCTCCTTAAACATCTTATCTCGTAGGAGAAAGAGGCAGGGTGTTGAACATTAATTCTTTGACAGTTTGGGTTAAAGACGTTAAAGACAAGACTGCTTCTTAATCGTTGACTAGTCTGTTACATCCAATGTAATGTAATTGTATATCACAAGTTTTACGCCCCCACACAACTTAGATCACGTAGGAGACGGGCTGTGACCATGTCTGCCAATGCCAACCTGGGCTGAAGAGAATACAACGTCCTAGAAGACAGAGAGAGAGAGAGAGAGAGAGAGAGAGAGAGAGAAACTCGATCAAAATTCTCCCTTTACTCAAACTCGCACCTTTTGCGTGTTTATGACTGAAGCGCTGAACCAACCACTACACCACAGACGTCGGTGTTTAGTTCAAGGGTTATTGTTACAAGATAAGGTTAACAATGATTCGTTATTTACTTGTCGTTTACTAGGTTAACTCTATGTTCTTCATAGCGGAGATTCGGACTACAATGGTGAAAACATAACAGTTCAAAGCATAGAATCTAGTAAAGTTTCAAGAATTCAGGTGAATAAACACGTGGTGGTCGCTACGAAGCAGCGCCTACTGTAGCTGGGCTACACCGTAGGCCATCTGGCCTACACCGTTTGACTTTGTTCTTGCTGTTGGCTTTCGCTTATAAGTCGGCCACTGGGTCCCCAATGGTTAGAAAAAGGAGTTAGGGGCTAGGACAAGAGTGAAGGGATTGGGGATGAGGGGTTACTATGAGACTTCAGATAACGGGGTCCGTGTTATAGGTAGGGATGAGGGATTTGGATTGTACAGTTATGGTGTAAATTTTGGGGTTAGTAGTTGTTAGGGGTATGCGTTGAGGGCTTGGGCTATTTTTAGGCTTTTAGTTAATGGTGACATGTTCTGTAGTCTGCTTTCGACTCTACCCCACCCCTTTGCCCCCTCCTGGGAGATTCTGGCTCTTTCTGCAGCATTTCTACTGCTATTTCTTGGTTCCTTCTAACTGCTGTTTTTCAGCCACATCCTTATCTTATTGTTGGTAAGATCTAACACCTTACCTTCTCGGATAAGGGCGAAAAAATCGGAGGTCCTGTGTGCAATTTGCGCCCATTAAAGATTCCCCAATGGTTCAAAATCGATAAAAGTAAGCTTCGACCGCCACCCGCGCAAAATTAAGAAATAATTCCTGTCAAACTGAAAATGTTTAATGTGTCATGTGGGCTTATACAGACTTCAACATAAAGTAAGGACCACTTGCAAACACTCTGAGTGGTCTCCTTGGGTCGACCTGTACGTGGGCGTTCTTGCACTGATCTAGTGGCTTGATAGCGCTGCCTCAAGCGTACAATGACAGAGTGTGACACTGCAAGCCTTCTGGCAACGGGCTCCAACTCAATCCTGCAGCCATGCCATAGCTCTGGCACGATCGAAGTCTCTCAGCTTTCGTCTTGGTCATGGTGGCATGTTGATGGGATACTGGATTTTGCACAAACGGCGGCTTATATTGCCACGAAAGTGAGCACAGTTTGAGGCCGTACGTCCTTTTATGACATGCACCCGAAATTTTAACTGAGGAATGTCCGTGATGTCGCACAAAAGTCGATTAAAAAAACAGAAAAGTTGGCTAAAATTCCCCGAGGATTTCTGTAATGCACATGGTAGTTTAGCCACTTTAGGAGGCTTTGCAGTGCGCATTGGTAACACTTTCAGAGCAAAAAAAACTTGAAACATTCCTTGCTGTCTTTTTTTTCGGATAAAAAAAAATCATGACTGTCATTCAAGGTGGTCCTTAACTTAGGCAGTTGTGAGCGCCGTATAACAGTTACCAAAACAAACAAAGAGAGATAAGGACTTGGAGTTTAGGTTAGGGCTAAAGGCAGTGTAAGATGTCTTTCCTGAAAAGTTTGCTTCAGACCCAATTTGGGTAAGAGACCCGCCTACAGAGTTCAGGGATAGCTGTTATTGTTATGGCTGCATGTCCTCGTGCTATGTCTAAGCAGTGGGTTATTGTTACAAGATATCCACCTTGGTCATAGTTAAAACATTTATCCAGGTCAACATGCTGTGGTAAAGTCTAAGTCTTTTAGTCACGTCTCCCTCTCTATCTCAGTACCTAAGGATAGGAACAGACTTTCAACTACTTCACTCAATCATCAGCTTTCAACCAAATTCGCTAATGAAAGACGTGAGTCGTTACAGAGTTTGCGGTCTTAACGCTGAATTTGTTTATATTTTTCACCCATAACCTGCAAGTCGATTGGTGATTCAAGTATAGTGTTAACATGAACAGTGATCTATTTCTGATTAGCTCATAATTTTCTTTGAAAACTGCAAAGTGGAGAGTCGGCCTTAGAGTTTAGACTAGCACATAACGGACACAAATAAGATATTTTGTTTCTGAAAAGCTTACATTTTTCTTGCAAGTTGAACCCCCTCTCTCCCCCTAGAATCTAGATTAGGGCAGTGGTAACGCAAATTACTTATCTTACCTCTGGTTGGCCCATGTTTTTCCTTGAACCTGAAAGTTGAGTGGTCTTAGAGTCTAGATCAGAGTAGGACATTCTGTGCCTCCCAAATCTTCCCTCCCCCGCTCCCCATTAATTTTGGCCAGCGTCTCTTCTCAACCCCCCTTATCCTCAATACATTCATTCCTTCATCTCAACGATTCCCCCTACATCCTCCCCCACCCAC